TTGAGATGTTATCAGCCAACTCTGGAGCAGGTGGGACTTGAACTCAAGTTTTTATTGTGTAGGGTGAGGGACACTACCACTGCATCACAATAGGTCCTCCTCAGCTATCCATTAAATAAAACCTATAGCATTTGCCTTCCTTGCAGTCAACTTCTGAGATGGAGTTAAGGCAATTTTGATTGAGTAGGTACAACTGTGTCCACTGATTGGGTCATTAATCAGAAATGGAGGTTTAAAAGAATCAGAAGGGAGAAATACTCTTTAGAAAAGAATCTGTTATGATCTGGAATGTGCTGCTTGAAAATGAAATTATAACATTCCCTTGGGTGGACACATGAAAAGTGAAATGGAGGGCTATGGGCTAAAATGGGTGAGAGTAATTGGCTAAATGCTCAGAGGGATTACAGACCAGTCCATATTAGTCTCAGTCAATGAGAACAGCCACTCATGGCTGATCTGTAGATAAAAGCAGTCAGAACTTTCCAACCATCAAGGAAAGGAAAGAACGAAATCTAACAACAATCATGCATTTCTATAGCACCTGTTAAAGGTAATAAACATTGAGTTGCTTCACAGGTTTCCAGAATATGTTGGATATAGAACCCTAAAGAAATATTGCATCAAATTATCAAAAGCTCTGTAAAACAACCTTATTTTTTAAAGAAAATGGAGTGTTAAAGGAATAGAGATAGTGGCAGCAGTATGTACCATCCATATGTTGTGCTACAGTAACTCATTGAACCTCATTTGACAACCCCTTCTAAATTTGAGCTCTACCATCTAGAAGGATGCCATCATATATATGGGAACACCACAAGCTGCAATTTCTCCAAGCTACGCACCATCCTGACTTTGAACGAGATCGTCATTCCCCCACTCAGTGGATCAAAATCCTGGAACTCCTTTCCTAACAGCATAGTAGGTCTGCCTGTACCATATGAACTACAATGGTTTAAGAAGGCATCTTACCACCACCTTCTCCAGGGAAATTATGGTGAACCTCACTACCCAAGAACAAATTAAAATAAAGATTTTTGGGAGGGAATCACAAAGCTTAGGGACAAAACTGAAGGCACAGCCACCAGTGGTGGTATAATTATAATCAAGGAAGCGCAAGAAGCAGAAATGGTAAAGGGCGGGGATTTATAGATTTGTAAGTCTGGAGGACCTTAGAACTATTGAGTGTCTACATAATATAGTAAAGAATTTGAAAATCGAGGCATTGTCAGCAAGCACAGGGGTGATGGGCGAACAGGATTTGGAGTAAATAAATCCATGTAGCAGAATTGTAGATGAAGTTTACAACAGGATAGGATATGGCAAGGAAATTTACCAGGGTTCCTAAAACCAACCTTTCAAACGCACATCTCTACTGTGTAGAAGGTTAAAGGAAGGAGATACAAGGGAGCACCACCTGCAGGTTTCACTCCAAGTTACCTACCATCTTGACTTGGAAATATATTATTGTTGTTTTAGTATCAGTAGGTCAAAATCCTTGAACTTCCTTCCAAAAGCATTGTGGGTCCAGCTGCACAAATGGACTTCAGCAGTTGGAGAAGGCAGCTCACCATCAGGGGCAACTAGTGATGGGCAGCAAATACTGGCCCAGCTTGTGATGCCCATGTAATGTGTATAAATAAACTAAAACCCAGCAATAGTTTGCTAGAATAGTTGAAGTGTAGAGGTGACAAAGGCATGGACGAGAGTTTCATCTCAGATAAATTGAGGCATGGTTGCATGAGGTTGAGGTGAAAATCAACAGTTTCGGTGGCATGGATATGTGGCTTGGAAGTATATCCTTGGTCAAGTATGATAACAAGATCGTGTGAACAGTCTGGTTCTGTGTCTCAGTTGCCAAGCACAGAAATGAAGCTGGGTTCTAAAGAATGGAGATTATGGCAGCAACTAAACCTCACTACTTTATTCTTACTATATTTGGAAGTAAATTTTTGCTTTTCTGGCATCCAGTATTGGAATAGCAATCTGAGATTTGTGCTAGTGGATGTGTTGAGAAAAATGATGAGCAAGGCAATTCATTGCTCATTTGAACAGTAGGTTTTGTGACATTGGAAAATCTGTCGTGATTTGGTGACATTGGAGATTGTTGGGAATTTAACTTTTTTTTTACGCAAGTTGGATATCTTTATTATTTACCAGATAAATGGAATATTAAATGTTCAATAAATTTCAATCTTGATGAACGTCAAAGAAAAATTTTAACATCCACTTTGGAATTTGCATGGCCAATTTGACCACATCCATTAACCTCACCTTGCAATTCTTTTGGTAGCAGATTCAACTATTTGAATTGACAGAAATCTGACAGGAGTATATTTTCATCTCATTTGGCTCCATCTCAGAGGCAAAGTAATTTTGGCTGCTGTTTAATTTGTGATAATTGTAGTTCTTAAAGTATACAGGCATTGACTACTGTTCCAGCAGATGTCATTACTCCAGACCTGGTTCTTGGCAACAGAACATGCTGTTTAATCCAGTAATGTTTACTTGCAGTTATCAAATTACTTTGCCCTTTGAGTGACTAATGTGTGTGAAAGGAGCACAAAACTTTTAAACAGCGTCTGGATGGATATATGAATAGGAAGGATTTAGAGGGATATGGGCCAAATGCTGGCAAATGGGACTAGATTAATTTAGGATATCTGGTCGGCATGGACAAGTTGGACCGAAGGGTCTGTTTCTATGCTGTACAGGTCTGACTCTATGTATGTGCATATCACTGAAAAGATATGATACAGTTTTTATAACGTTGAAACTGTGCTGAGTTAGCCAGTGCAATAATTGATCTGAGTCTCGATGGGGTTAGGTGTGAAATTGTGGTTACAACTGTGTAAGTGCATGTAAGGATAATATTAATGAGGATAATTTTCACAGTTGATAAGGCATTCTTCTTTTCCCTAAACGTCATGTTGGTGGTGAGAGTGCAATTGTTGTGATCAACTGAATTGCCATCCACAGGAGGGGTGTAAAAGATAAAGAACTAGTGGGGAAATGAAGAGCTGCCTGCATAAGTTGATTTTTTTGGTGCAAGATTGCCAAATATTTATGGTAGTTGATTATTAGTAGTGCAAAAGTTTTATATTTGTTTGCTGGGCATCACGACCAAATTTCAGCACAAGAGGAGCCATTTGACCCATTGTTTCTGTGCTAGTAGGTGTTTCATTTTAGTACATGATTCTTCAACAAACTTCTTTGCTCTTTTGCTTTTGACCATGAATAATTTTCTTGGTAAGTGTTTAACATGAAACTTGAAATGGATTAGGCTGAACTAATGGTTTGGTCAACGTATATAATGGATAGATTACCTCCTGGTAATGCTGCAACTGTTTCTACCTCCCTGTTCACCTTTTGCATAGACTATGCTGCATTAAAAGGAGAGTAGTGGGAATAACCATCCTTAAAAATTGCAATTTCTGGATTATTAAGTGGCAAATAGCTTCGAAAAAAGTGTCAGGAAACCAAGGGAATCTTATTTCTGTCGTTAGCTGGAGATTGGCTGTCTTTGCATATGAGCTATAAACATTTGATACAATTTGCAATATCTGTAATCATAATTATATGTGAGGAATGATGCTCATAGTGTATGCAGCTTCCTTTTTGATGCTTGCCTGCCTGTCAGTTGGTTGATTGCTTAAAGGAGGTATCTGCCTTGTATTTTAATAGCCAACCTCTCCCTTTATCATTGGTCATTGACTGCACTGGTGATTTGAATAGGGACAGCTGCCAGTTTTTGTCTTATATCTGCTGTGGGAGATGTGTTGTGAAGGAAGTGACTGCACACTGCCTTGGTGAAACATAGAAAACTCTACAGTATTTGACATTTCAAGTAGCATCTGCGGAATGTGCTATGACAGAAAAATTAAACAATCCTTTGGAATTCTGATTAAAAATTGTCATCAGAATTGAAATGGAAGGGTTGCCTGAAGCACGAGGTTTGAGACTAATATTATGAGATGCATTTTTGAAATTTTCTGTTCCATGTTGCATTGCTCCAAGCTGAATCTACAAATTATAAAAGTTTTATATTAACTTGTGAATCTACAACAGAATTCATACCTTTTTAGATTTTAGATCATAAAAGATTTGAAGTACAATCTACATAAAGAAGTTGACAGTTTGTGTTTTCTTTTAAATGTATTTTCCATCTCCCTTTTGTGAAGTGATATATGTCAGATGTGTTAACAGCTTCATTCAGTTATCATTTTCTACTTTACTGCTTTTGTAGTTTTTTTTTGACAACCTGCTTATAAGAAGGATATTATTTGAATTGGAGAAGGTTCAGAAAAGATTTACCAGGATGTTACTGGAACTGGAGGGCTTGAGTTCTAAGGATGAGCTGGGACTTTCCTCCTTGGAGTATAAGAGATTGAGGGGTGACCTTGTAGAGGTTTATAAAACTCTAAGCGGAATAGATAGAGCGAATAGCAAAGGTCTTTTTCCCTTGGTTGGGGATTTCAAAACTGGAGGGCATATTTTTAAGGTGAGGAGGAGAAAGATTTAAAAGGGACCTGAGGGGCAATTTTTTCTCACACACAGGTTGGTTCATATGTGGAATGAACTGCCAGAGGAAGTGGTAGATGCAGGTACAGTTACCACATTTAAACGACATTTGGACAGGCACATGAAAAGGACAGGTTTAGAGAGATATGAGCTAAATGCAGGCAAGTGGATCTCATTTAGTTTGGAAAATTTGGTCAGCATGGATGAGTTGGACCAATGGGTCTGAATCTGTGCTATATGACTCTGACTCTATAACATGAGATGTTGTTAGTGGAAATGTGGAAACTTCTGTACTTTTGCACGATATTGCCAAGGGACAGCAAGTAGATGAGAACTAAGAGGCCACCATGGGATATATCCTCTGGATAACCAGAGTTAAAAGTAAGGGAGTAGGAAGAGGTGTGAAACCAACTAAGAACAGCATAAATCCAGTCAATAAAAAAGTGGAGATAGCAGACATAGAGGTCTGAATCTTTCGAGAAATGGGCTGTGTCGTTCTCGGTGAGTTTCAGAGAGGGTTTCTCTCCACAAGGTCCAATAAGTCTTCTCGCACAATTATCTCAAACTTGCCTCGCTGACTTGGTACTGTGCCCCTCTCCTCCAATGCCACTGTGATTCCCCCATTTGCTATAGGTGGAAGTCCTCACCACTGCTAGGATATCCCAGGTTCCATGGCCCCAGCACCATTTCTGGACCTTTCACCTGATCAGGTGTTAGCAGTCTGGAGTTGCCCTTTACTGTGCAACTAATGGGAAATCATTCACAAACCAATGCTTCTCGGAGCTTTCAGGTGGAACAGTTGACACTTTCTTGCACATACCTATTGTCTCTTGTCGTTTAATCACAAACCACTCGGCCTACCTGTGCTGAGCAGAATCTTATCTTCCAACCTCCCAAGTCACTGCTTCTCTGTTCTGTGTCCCTTACAGCCCATTGTTCAATATGGGACCATCACATACAGGAAAGCCTTTAATCGTTGCAGAACATGCATTCACTCATTTCACTGAAACCAAAAGTGAACAGAAATAAAACAGAAACTGTATTTGCCTCTTGGAACAGGAATGCACTGCTTACGTTTTTCAAGCAACAACAAATTTAGAGTCAAAAATTGGAAGCAGATATCAATTAAATCTTGTATGGCTTTGTAGCCCTCTACACTGCAGCACTCTTACTGTGCACAAGGTTATGATCTCCTCCTCTAGTGTCCTCCTCCTCCTCTGGAAGACTGTTCCCACTCTCTGTTTTGTTCAGCTTCAGTTTTGTTGCATCTTCTGCCTTCTCCAATAGTGCAGAGCACATCATGTTGGAATTATGTGGCACACTCCTTCAGAACTGGACTTAAAGCCATCCTCAACACACCTCCCCCCACAACCCCCACCCCCCTACCCAACCCAAGCATCGGAGCCTCCTCTTCAGTAAGCCTATTGTCTGTTCCCCTATGACCCTGGGAGAAGAATGGGCTACATTATAACTACAGTCGGCCTCTCTTTTACGGGATTGCATAACGGAGGATAGACCTTGTCCCCTAGCAACCATCCTTGTAAGGCATCTGGTCCTTAACACAGAACCATTACAGTTCCTGCAGATAGAGGCATCATAGCAGCTCCCAGGGTACCTGATACACACATCTAAGAGGTGATGACAATGATCACAAATCACTTGCATGCTGATGGAATAGAGCCTTTTTCTGTTGATGAACTCAGCTGCATTATATGGTGATTTCAATGTAATAAGTGCACATCCCAACATACCCGGTATCTGGGGGAAGCGAACTACATTATTGTATCCTACTGCCCGGGCTGCAGTACTGACCTTATCATTGGAAAACAAGATAAAGTGGTGCGATCTGGCACAAACAGCCTTGGTAACTATCTGTCTTGATCTATTTGTGAGTGGATAATTGAGGGACCTCACACAGGAAGGATCCAATTGCATAAAAGGTCAATGCAGCTCTTGGCTTGCTGGCCATTAAGAAAGGATGGCCACCCATCCAATCAGGTCACAGGTCCTGATCCAGCAGTGTGGGGGTGTTCCATATCACCCTCAGTCCACAGTAGCAATGCACCTTCATCAGAGGAAATACAATTTGAGGAAGTAGAACTCTGGCCCTCCTGCACATTCTGTGGGGACTTCCAGCTGCGCCCATTTCTTGTGGAAGCTACTCAACATCCACTGGAGGTTGCTGCTGGTCCTGGAATTGCTGACACAACTGTTCCTCCTTTCCTTTTGTATACCTCCATTGCATTGCAGCAACAGTGATAATAACTCTTTCTGTGACTGGTTTTGTTGGTCATGCTTGCAATCAGTCTGTTTGAGGAGCAGAAGAAAGAGAAGAGGTCCTTTTTCAGTAATGAGTAGTCAGCATTTGCATCAATTGCAAATGACGATTTTTTGCCATATTCCTCTGTACAGTGGGACATGGAGCACTCCAAACAAAGAGTGCCATGGAGTGCCTCTACATGGTACTTTGACTTTGGAGCTTTATTGTGATGAATACAATACGAGTTATGCCACAAAGAGACAGGAAGACATTGTGAATGCTGCAGGGGGACTGAATGCTTTTCCCAATCCCACCTCACCAATGAAAGGGATCATGCATGTAAGAGCATCTTACTTGATACTTAAACATCAACTTACGGAGAATCAGTCCCATACCCCAATGGAGCCTGAAAGGTCTTGCATTAGTTCAAACGTTTTGAGAAGATTTGTAGCTCGGGTTGTGGATGAGGTTGTAGACTTGTTCGCCGAGCCAGTGTGTTTGATCGCAGATGTTTTGTCACCCTGCTAGGTAATATTGTCAGTGCACCTCCAGTGAAGCGTTGGTGTTCTGTCCCATTTGTTATTTATATGCCTCGGTTTGCTGGGGTGTTTGACATCACTTCGGGTTCTGTTTTCCAGTGGTTTGTATATCGGGTCCAGTTCAATGTGTTTGTTGATGGAGTTCCGGTTGGACTGCCAGGCCTCCAGGAATTCCCTGGCATGTCTCTGTTTGGCTTGTGCTATTATGGATGTGTTGTTCCAGTCGAATTTGTGTCCTTCTTTGTCCGTGTGTATTGAGACCAGTGAGAACTGGTCGTGTCTCTTGGTGGTTAGTTGGTGTTCGGTATCCTTATTGTCAGTTTTCTTCCAGTTTGGCCTATGCAATATTTCTCACAGTCCTTGCATGGTATCTTGTATATTACATTAGTTTTATTGGTTGTGGGAATGGGATCCTTTACTTTACATTACATTACATGGGATCCTTTATATTACTACTGATGAATGTAAAGGACCTTTCAACAAATACATTGAACTGGACCCGATATACAAACCACTGAGAAACAGAACCAGAAGTGATGCCAACTATCCCAGCAAACCGAGGCATATAAATAATAAACGGGACAGAACACTAATGCTTCACTGGAGGCATGATGATGAAACGTCTGCAATCAAACACACTGGCTTGGCGAGCAAGTCTATAATCTTGTCTTGCATTAGCTTTATGGCCCATAGGTATGACTTTTTAAGAGGCACTTTGGATGTCACCTGTGATTATTCCTGCTTCATGAAGATGATTGTCTTCAATCTTCAATTACTAATGACAATGTCAACATTGCTTGTGACTGGCATTTGCACCCTGCACGCTTGGACATTGTACCTGTGAGATGCATATAATGATATTGCAAGTGACTTTAAACACCCACTTGCAGGGTACATGTTAACACAATTGCCGCTTGAATGGCCTTTTGTTGCTCAGTAGTGGACCCCACATGTTGGAAAAGGAAAATATAAGATTCTGCCTAGTCCAGGTGTGGTCCCAGCCATTTTCCATTTGTAGGTTGCATTTAGGAATTGAGAGAACATGTAACGGAGAAGGGGTCACTCTTTGAGCCATCAGTCCCAGGTGTGACCTATTTGGCAAGGGTCTCTTCCATTCCTCTCCCTGGGAAATTCCCGGAGAAACTCAGCAGGTCTGGAGAGAATCAGAATTAACATTTCAAATCCAGTGTCGTCTTTAGAATCCCAGGTCATATAAAACTCAATGTTAGCCATAAGAATGTTAACAGAGAGCAAAAAATGGAGAGATAGTTCCAAACTTTAGGCCCCGAAGGCTGAAGGCTTCATTGGCAGTAACACAGCAAAGGAAATCAGGGTGTGTAAAAGAGCAAAATTTGGAGGAGCTAGAGATCTTGGAGGGTTGTAGGGCTGGAGGAAGCAGATGCAACTACACTAATTGTGAAGGTAACTTGCATATCTGTTTCTGTGTCTACATTGCAGGCCGAGTTGAGTGAACTCATTGGGTTCAAGCATTACATGGAGATGATGATGGTCCTCACCACAGCAGAGTCAGTGGGTCCTTCGTCTGATGAAAATGTCAATGTGTTGGACACTACCTTCAACCAGGTCCCAGTTCGTGTCTATGAGCCAAAAATCCTTCTCCCAGGACTCAGGCGAGCGGTCATTTACATTCATGGGGGCGGATGGTGCTTAGGAAGTGCAAGTAAGTTGTGAAACTACCCTGTAAAGCATAAAAGGAATTTGTATATCGCCTTTCGTATCCAACGGCAATTTGTAACCAATGAAGAACTTCTGAAATGGAGCCATTCTTGTGATGTAGGACTCGTGATAGCCAATTTGCATATAGCAAAATCCTGTTATCAGTAATGAGATGAATATTTAAATAATCCATTTTTGCAATGTTGGCCACTGGATACAAACGGACCCAAGGCATTGAAGAGAACTCCTGTCCTCTTCTTGGAATATTTTTACTTGTTGCATGGACAGCAGATGGAACCTTGGTTTAACATCTTAGCTGAAAGGTACTGCCTGCAACATTGGAGCATCCCTTCAACACTATACCAGCCTGGATTGTGTTTGACTAACTCACTGGAGTCTTTTGTTTGTTTGCTTGTTTTAAGAGGTAAAAGCAAAGGTTGATATGAGTAACGCTGTTGATGTGGCATACATGGACTTTCGGAAAGTATTTTATGCAATGCCACATAACAGACCGGCAAGGAAAGTTATAGCTCATGGAATAATAGGGGTATGTTGATACAAAATTAGTGAGTGATAGGAAACAAAGTAATGGATATCTTTCAGGCTGGAGGAAGGTTTGTAGTGGAGTTCTCCAGTTACTGCTAATATTTCACCTTGCTTTTCCCACTATATATAAATGGTCTAGAATTTGGTGTGAGTAATCATTGTGATTTCTTTTTTGCTTCCCATGAAAGTATTTGTAGCTATCTGTCAGTCAATCCTATGCAGAGTATGTGGTGATGGTCAAGATTTGAAAGCTTCTAACAATTTAGACTTACGTAGCAACTTCAGCAGAGCCAAACCTCCCATCTTGTTATATGAAAAATTAATTGGACATTTTGAGCCTAGAGGATGGAGTTGCAATGACTAAAAGCATGGTTTAAAGAGAATATTGGAAGCACAAAGGAGATAGAGAACTTCAGCAACTTCCTGTACCTAAAGAGAAGAAAATAAAGCTTCAATTTAACTACCTGACGTATCAGCCAAAGTGAATGAGTCTATGTCCAATTCTTTACTGTTGAAAGATAAACCACTGATGGATAGAAGCCACTGTCATTGCTGAGAGTATATCAGGGCTATGGCAATAATCTGAACATTCACATGCAGGCAGTACTCTCACCTTCAAGCAGGGAGCCATTCAAATGATCTCCAACTTGTAGTTAGACATCAGACAGTTAATGATATGAGCCATTGCTAAATCCTCATCATCATTATCCTGGAGTCATTGGTAACCAGAACCTCAACTTGAAAGCCATCTAAATGCCATGGTGATTGATGCAGATGGTTGGGTATTCCTGGTGAACGTCTCATTACCATCTAGTTTCTCAAAGCCTCTCCTTCACCTACAAAGGCAGAATTCAGGACTGTGATAGAATGCTGTTCACTTTTCTGGATGAATGCCCCTGCAAAGGCATACAAGACATTGGAGGCTGGTTGACCGGTCTATCCACCAGCTTCAACTCTCTCTCACACCTCCACTGATGCACTGTGGTTGCAGGGCATACTCTTGATGTCCTCAACATTGACTCCAGATTCCATGAAGTTTCACAGAATTAGAAAAACCTGTGTTGATTACAACATAGAACATCCTGTCTCCTCTGCTGATGAGTCTGTGCTCCTCGGTGTTGAATTGATAATGTCATTGTAGTTCTCTGGACCGTAGGGCTGCTCTCTCATTAGAGAGAGAGATGGCTGGTGATGGTTAAGCCTGGCTGTTACCACACCTCGGATAAGGGGAGAAGTTGAGAAGGAGGGACCTTCATAGTAATCTCAGCCAGTGCGGGAAATGAACCCATGCTGTTGGCACCACTGCATCTCAGACCAGCAACTAGCCAACTGAGCTGTCTGACCTATGTTACCACTTGAGGAATAATGGAAGTTGGCAAGGGTGCAGAATGTACTCTAGGTAGGGAACTTTAAAGTCTATTACCAAGAGTGGTTCAGCAGCATCACAACTGACCAAGCTGGCTGAGTTCTAAAGGACATAGCTGTTAGCACTTCCTTGGCAATAAACTGCACACTGACATCAGGGCCACTCAGCTCCTGCCCTCATTACAGCCTTGGTTCAAACATGGACAAAGGAGCTGAAATCCAGAGGGGAGGTGAAAATGACAGCCCTTGACATCAAGGCTACATCACATAGAGCGTGGAATCAAGCATCAGCCTAGCAAAACTCATAACATTGAGATTCCAGGAAAAGTGCTCCCCTGGTTGAAGTCACACCTGGAACATAAGATGGTTGTGGTTGTTGGGAGTCAGTCATCTCCAGCTCCAGCTTGTGTCTGCAAGAGTTCTTCAGGGTAGTGTCCTCGGCTCAACCATCTTTAACTGCTTCATCAATGACCTTCCCTTCGTCATAAGGTCAGAATTGGGGATGCCAATTGTGCAATGTTCAGCAGCATTTATGATTCCTCCGATACTGAAGCAGTCCATGTCCAAGTTTTGTTGCATTTGAACATTATCCAAGTTTGACCTGCCCAGTAACGTTCGTGTGACAGGTGCCAAGCATTGATCATTTCCACCAAGGTGGAATCTAACCATCATCCTTGACATTACCGTTGCTGAATTCCCCACTATCCTGGGGGAAGCCATTGATCACAAACTATACTGCATTAGCCACATAAATACAGGAGCGGGTTTGATGCCTTTCAAACCTGGAGGATTTCACTGGCAGCAATATTTAGAATCACACCCATTTCACAGTCACAGCAGCACTAGTCACAACAACACTAACCTTCACTTGATCTGGCATTGCAGGTCAGCTTTCTAATGGTAGCGCAATTCTATAACTACCTCCTTGATGCAGATCAGTTGTCAAACACAGAGCTGCAGCCTCCAGGCAGTTGGGAGAATTCTTTTCTGAAGACTTCAGGCTAGGTGTCCTTCTCTTTAACTGTTTGCAAGCAGCTTGACATCATTGCTGCTCAAGGTAAATTGTGTCTGTAGCTCGCACGGATTCCAAAGCTTTGAAGTAGGAAGCAACTCTTTTTTTTTTACAAAGTCCAGCACTAGTTCCTGCGGATGTAACTGACTTTACTGAAACTCTTCTAACAGTTCCAGTCCTGTGATTAGTCATAGCAACTAAACTGAAAATTAGATGGCTCCCTTTAAATAACACTGGCCTGGGGAACCCTTATGAGCTGAATGCATGTCTAGCTATGCGCACATCAGCGACAATGTGTTGACAAGAACTGGAAGGTCAAAAATAGTGAGCTGGAAGCATCTAATCAGCGTAATGTGATTCATCTATTTTGCAAACTTGTTATGTATGTCTTTTAATGACAACGCAGTTGTGTTCATTGCCAAAGGTGCTCAGGGCAGGTTGTGCCAAAAAGGATTTGGAATAAGGTGGGATTCCTTTTTTGTTTTTACCTAAACTGTCACTTGAAGTGTTTTAAACATGGCTGCTGGCAAACTGAAAGCTGCAGCGTGTGACTTTCCATGTGTGCATTACAAAATAAAAGTATATTTTCAACAGTAAAGCAGGATGTATTTCAGAGATATGAGAGATGGTGAGACAGTGAGACAGTGATACTGTCACTGGACTCATAATCTAGAGCCTTAGGGTAATGCTCTGTGTTCAAAACCCATAACTGTAACTTGGTAGAGTAACTTGGTAAGTTGAATTAAGAAATCTGGAGTTGAAAGCTCAGCTCCAAGATGGATTCACTGGAGCTGTTAGTCATTTTACCTTTCTGCTTTCTCATCTCTAGTTGCAATGATCTGAAAGCAAACTGACAACACAGCTCGGCTGCATGGAACATCCGTCCTGTGCCCTGTGAGTCCTGGATGCCTCATGTGACCCAGACAATCACATGCGGCGAGTGTCTCCAACTGCAAAATCTTGAGCTCTGGGATTTGAAACTTGAGCAGAGGCTGGAATCCCTATGGTGGATCCGCCAGGCTAAGAATTACATCTGTAGCATGTTTTAACACAGTGGTCACACTACAGATTAAGGCCAGGCATGCTTGGAGGGAAAGGTGACCACTAGGTAGACTAGAAAAAACATACAGATAGTGCAATATTCCTTAGAGAATCATAGAATCCCTACAGTGCAGAAAGAGGCCATATGGCCCATAGAGTTTGCTCTGACCCTCAGAGCATCCCAATCACATCCAACCCCCAACCATAGCCCAATAACCCTGTTAAATACTATGGCCAATCCACCTAACCTGCACATCTTTGGACTGTGTGGGAAGAAGCTGGAGCACCCGGAGGAAACCCGCACAGACACAGGGAAAAGGTGCAAACTCCGTGGACAGTCGCCCAAGGGTGGAATCAAACCTGAGTTCTTGGTGCTTTGAGGCAGCAGTGCTAACCACTGAGCCACTGTGCTACCCTGAGCCTATCTTGTTCTCTGAAACATTTTGCATTTTTGGTACTGGCGAGGGCGATGCCTCATCAGAGAAAAGCAAGCGAGCTGTGCCTAAAAATGGAAGATAAATATGGTGTTATATCAAAAAAGGCTTCTAAAAATAAGTTATAAGCCTGAGGATTGGGACAATGTTATAATTCACCAAATGAGAGCCCAATACATTGATAGAGAACATGAATGTAAAATGTTAAGAAACATAAACAGACAATAAAAGCTTCTAAAGACATGGAAAATGAAAATATTTGCAAAGACAAATGTGGGTACATTGCATTTAGAGGTAGGAGAAACTTGTGAATGAATTATGAGCATGGGGAAGTCTTGCTAAAACTATAGAGGGCACTAGGCAGGCCACAGCTGGAACACTGAACAGCTTTGGTACCCCTTATTCAAGGAAAAACTTAATGGCATTGGATCCAGTCTAGAAATGGTTCACTGGTTTGATTCTGGGTATAAAAGAATTTTCTTAGGAGGAGAGGTTGTATAATTTGGGATTTTGCCCATTGGAATTTAGGGGAATGAGAAGAGACCTTATTGAAACATAGAAATTCTAAGGAGATGTAGGACTTCCTTCACTGGAACATAAAAGGTTGAGGGGTGATCTTTTATAGAGGTTTATAAAATCATGAGGGGTATAGATAAGGTGAATAACAAAGAACTTTTCCCTAAGGTGGGGGAGTTCAAAGCTAGCAGGCATATTATAAGGTGAGAGGAGAAAGATTTAAAAGGACATGAGGGACAACTTTTTTACACAGATTGGTTAGTGCATGGAATGAGCTGCCAAAGGAAGTGATGGATGCAGGTACAGTTACAATGTTTAAAAGACATTTGGATAAGTTCATGAATAGGAAAGGTTTGGAGAGATATGGGCCAAATGCAGACAGGTGGGTCTAGTTTAGTTTGGGAAAATGGTTGGCATGGACTGGTTGGATTGAAGAGTCTGTTTCTGTGCTATATAACTCTATGATGGTTGTTTCCATTTTGTGGGAACATCTAGGATCAAAGGGGACAATCTCAACACCAGGGGTTGCCAATTTTAAGACCGATGATGGAAGCCCGTGGATGTGGTCTCTTTCTGGATTTTCAGAAGGTTTTGCTAAAGTCTCACTCAAGAGGTTCATAAAAATTTAAATTCTGTGGAACTGGGGGTACTATACAGGCTTGGATTGAGCAATGATTAACAAACAGACTTCAGAGAGTAGGAATAAATGGACCATTCTTAGTTAGCAGAGTACAGGCAAGTTTTGGTGCTTGGCCCAGCTCCTCGTAATCAACATCAATCTTTTGAATGCAAGGCCCAAATGTAGAGAATACTAGTGTCACATAACTACAGCAGTCCTTTGGGTGAGTGAGTCATGTGTTAAGCACTGCTGTCAAGTTTTTAGTTAACCTTAAATCCAAATTGTGACTGTCTCAGTCCAATGCCCACTGGGCTCCCAGACAATCCTATTATCCTTTCAGTGGTCAAACTTCACTATCCCTCCAGTAATTCAGCAACTAGTTCTTCCTGCCAATAATTCTTTTATTAGCCATTATTGATTCGATTCCATTCCTTTAGAATCACACTTTTATATGTTAAAAGTTTCTTGTATACTGCTATATATTTGTGCAACAAAGACAAAGTTGCTGGTAAAGCTCAGCAGGTCTGGCAGCATCTGTGAAGGAAGAAACAGAGTTAACATTTTGGTTCGAAACGTTAACTCTGTTTTTTCCTTCACAGATGCTGCCAGACCTGCTGACCTTTTCCAGAAACTTTGTTTTTGTTCCTGATTTACAGCATCTGCGGTTCTTTCGGTTTTTATGCTATACATTTGTGAGTAGGTGTTACATCACTGTACTTCTGCAAACTGTTCATTGTAGTTGTTATCAAGTGCAAGGGGACTGGTTGGTGGCTGTAGAAGGTATTACAACAAGCTCTGTTTTAGCTCGTTGTCAGTCAACACGTTCACTCAGCTCGGCTCAGCTGGGGCACTTGCCCTCTCATTCACAGGCTGTGCTTTTAAATTGGGGCTGCTGACCCCTGAAGTCAGCTTTAAATAAGCTTTAAATATTAAATATCTCCAGGTCTCTGATACTGGGGAGCAATTGCTGGGCTGGTTTTTAAAAAGTAAACAAGATTTGTGTTTGTTTTTGTTTTCTTTGCTTATTTGTGAATGGCCAACTTGAATTTCTGTCAGACTGATGTCCTGTCTACTGCTATAAAAGACCCCATGCTGTTGTTTTGACGAAGAGCAGTGGGCTTGCCCAGTTAACATTCTTCTCTCAAATGACGCAGTTAGAACATCGTGGTTATGTTACCTGGTCAGTAAGTGAGAGGTCGCTCATACTAAGGCATAAGCTTAAACCCCAGCATGATTGCTTGGAGAATTTGAATTTGGACCACTCAATGTATGAATTAGAATGTCAGAATTGTGGCAGTGAAGATGTCCAAGCAACTGTTGGATTGATGGAAAAACTCACTGTCCTTTTAGGAAAGGCAATCTACTGCCTTTTACCTGGTCTAGTCTACATGTGACTCCAGACTCTTCTGAAATGGCCAAGCATGTCCCTCAGTTAACAAGAAGGCAGTTGACTATCGCTGTCTTAAGAAATGGCCAGTAAATGTTGATTGTCAGTGATGTCCACAAACAGTCAGTAATCTCACCAGACTCTTCTGCAGGACATTACTGTGAATTGGGTATGGTATACATGCAAGCTCTTCCTGTATGTAGAGCTAGACGGTCTCTTTTGGCCTTTTGGAGTGTTTCTCCACATGGTCTGGACGTTATTGGAGTTGATTTGGTTTAAATGGTTTTGATACTTCAGCACAATTGATCTTCCTTTTCTTTTTCAGAAATGAAACCGTATGACATCCTGTCAAGAAAAAGCGCTACTGAATTGAATGCAGTCATCATTTCCGTTGAGTAAGAACTTAGTGTACTTTGCCCTCACTAAGGGACACTGTTGGATAGTGGTTCATTACCTTTGGACCCTATTCTAACCATACAAAGTATTTAAAAACAACACTTGTGTAATAGTTTCTGGGACTTTAAGGACAATTTTAAGGTAGTAAGACATGCCTTTGTTGTACTTATGAAGCTTGTTGATGGTATTTTGAATTTAACTGCTTGATGTTTTCAACAAACTAACTATACGGCACAAGGTACACACATGAGGGATAGGGATGAATTAAACATACATAGACATACAAACATACGAAGAACTTCAGAAAGGAGGAAAGCTGCTGCAAAAAAGGGTCAATCGATTAATCAGGCAACATGGATTATTAAAAAATAAATAGCCATTCCTGGGATGGTTTACTCATCCAAGTGTATTGGTTATTCTTTGAATGTGGTTGTGGCTGGCATTTAGTATCCATCCCCAGTTATAGAAATCATAGAATCCCTACAATGTGGAAACAGGCCATTCGGCCCAACAAGTCCACACCGCCCCTCTGAAGAGTATCCCACCCTGACTCATTCCCCTACCCCTGCATTTCCCCATATCTAACCCACCTAACCTAAACATCCCTGGGTACTATTGGGCAATTTAGCATGGCCAAGCGACCTACGCTGCATATCTTTGGACTGTTGCCTTAAGATTGCAGTGAACCTTCTTGAACCATTGGTTTAAAACAGTGGACTATGGCCAGTTTACAGAGCAGCTAAGAATCAACCATGTCAATATTGGACTGGAGTTACAAACCAGCCCTGAGAGGATACAAACAGCTGTTTCCTTTTTTTGCTGAAGATATTGGTTAACAAGTTTTAATTTTAAACGGTGGTCTGACAGGTCTCTTTTTATGCTGTCACCATCTTTGAACAAAAACTTTAGAAAATGAACTAATTGTGAACTCTCAAACTGTTACTGTGGGATTTGAATTCACGTTTCCTGTAATATTTGCCCAGGCCTGTGGATTGCTATAACCACCACACATCCATACCCCTGTCTAATCTGTCTTTATTGCCCCTTGCTCCTTCATAAAGTGATACTTTGCTGAACATTGTGTACATCATGTGACCCTCACCTCTTACTGCACAACCTCGCTGGGTACTTCCTAATTTACTCCCTGAACCCATAAGGTGCACCCCCATTGTGGGCTTTTTTGGCAGACTGTACCTGATTGAAGGATGGCAGTGGGAGGTATGGAGATTTGTGACTGGAAGACACCTCTCTCTCCTTTCTGCTAAAATGATGTGGAGGTGCCGGTGTTGGAGTGAGGTGGACAAGTTCAGAAATCACACAACACCAGGTTATAGTCCAACAGCGTAATTTGAAATCACAAGCTCACCTGATGAAGGGGCTATGCTCCAAAAGGTTGTGATTTCAAATAAACCTGTTGGACTATGACCTGGTGTTGTGTGACTTCTGATTTTCTGCTAAATTCTAGTCTATTGTACCCCTCTCCCACAACCTGTGGCCTGGGTCCCTCGGTGATTCTGGACGTTGAAATGGCTGCGTTATTGGTAGCAGCTACTGCCTTCCCAGTGTCGTTACTGAGCAACAAACAGCTATCCATCTCTGAATGACCAAGAGTTCTGGGTGGACAGGACTTCCACTTATCATTGCTAGTTATTGTTTTCCCAAAATGAAAAGCCACATGAGCCTCTTGCCAACTCTCCATGCAAACATACATATACAAATTAGGGGATGTAAGCCATTCGGCCCATCAAGACTGCTCTGCCATTTTAATATGGTCATAAGTGATCTGCTTGTTTCAAATTCCACGTTCCCAATCATTCCCAAAAACCTTTGATTCCTCTGTCCAACAAAATCTAACTATATTCCATGACCTGGCCTCCACCAACGGCTGAGGCTGCAAGTTACCCAACCACTCCCCTCAGCTCCATCCAAATTATTAGGCAGTGCCCCCTGGTTCTGGAACTGCCCACGAGAGGAAACTTCCTTTTCACATTCACCTTGTCAATTCTATTCACGATCTTGAATACTCCAGTCAAGTTGCCTCTCACTCAGAAACAAAAACAGAAATTGCTGGAAAAGCTCAGCAGGTCTGGCAGCATCTGTAGAGAGAAATCAGAGTTAACATTTCGGGTCTGGTGACCCTTCTGAGCAATTTCTGTTTGTTTCTGCTTTACAGCATCCGCAGTTCTTTTGGTTTTTATTTAGTATTCACCTCTCACTCAGAATTTGGCAGTCATTCTGTTTAAAGTAAATAAAACAGAGTATTACTTATGTACAACTTTACATTTCCCCACACTATACGTTATCTGCCAGATTTCTAGCCTCTGAGGCGCTGTTGTAGCCACTGTGTGTATAAGGCTAATCCAGTTCAGCTTCTGGTCGATAACGGCTCCAAAATGGTCATGGAGGATTCAGTGATGGTGATACCATTGAATGTCAGGAGTGATGGTTAGTTTGTCTCCTGTTGGACGTGGTCATTGCTTGGCATTTGTGTGGCTCAAGTGTTACTTGCCACTTCAGCTCAAGCCTGGTTATTGCCCAGATCTTGTTGCATTTGAACAGTGTCTCCTCAGGATCTGAGGAGCTGTGAACATTGTGTGATCATTGGCAAACATTCCTACTTCTTCCCGCTATTAAAAAGGTCAGATCATTAATGAAGCAGCTGAAGATAGTTGAGCTTAAGACACTATGTTGAGGAACTCCTGCAGAGATGTCCTGGAGCTGAGATGAGTGACCTCCAACAACTACAATCGTCTTCCTATGTGCCAGGAATTACACTAATCATTCAGAGTTTCATCCCATTTCCCATTAACTCCAGTTTTGCTAGGGCTCTTTGATGCCACTTTGGGCCAAATACAACCTTTATGTCAAGGGCAGTTATTCTCATTTTCCCTTTGAAGTTCAGCTTTTTTGTCAATATTTGAACCAAGGCTGTAATGAGATCAGGAGCTGAGTGGCCCTGGCGGAACCCGAACTTGGGGTTGCTGAGCATGTGCTGCTTAATAATACTGTTGATGACCCTTCTATCACTTAACTTTGTTAACATAATTGATTGCAAAAGGCAAGTTAATCTGTCCCAGGTAAGTCCAGTTATTTATTTAATACACAATCTTGTAGTAAGGGGGAGGTAATGGCCTAGTGGTATTATTGCTAGATTGTTAATCCAGACACCCTACATAATGTTCTGGGGACCCAGGTTCGAATCCTGCCATGGCGGATGGTGGAGTTTCAATTCAATAAATATCTGGAATTAAGACTGTAATGATGACTGTGAATCCATTGTCAGTTGTCGGGGAGAAAAAACATCTGGTTCACTAATGCCCTTTCAGGAAGGAAACTGCCATCCTTACCTGGTCTGGCCTACATGTGACTCCAGACCCACAGCAATGTGATTGACTCTTAACTGCCCTCTGGGCAATCAGAGATAGGCAGAAAAATGCTGCTGAGCCAGCGATGCCCACATCCTGTGAATGAATAAAGGGAAAAAAAAGCCATTGGTCCACAGTTCTACATGGTCTACTGGTTTTACATGCAAGTGAAAACTCAAGGACCTACTCTAAAAGTTTGACAAGACACTTTACCCTCCCATACTATACTTCGGGAAACATTGCCAATGTCTGCATACATGATGTTCAAGTTATTAATGCAAAAGCCCTTCACAATCAACATGAATAACCTGCATGAGAAAGCTTCTGTAACTCTGAGATGTTTCACAATGTAGTTAATCTGCTTCTGTGTTCAGAGGGGTAAGGAATTGGCACTGAGCCACATTAGGAGATTTTGGGACAGGTGACCAGTTTAAAACAAAAGAGAGACTTCAAAAGTGACCTATGGAGGGAGGAAGGGAGAATTTTTGTGCCATAGTCATCCAGCATGGAAACAGACACTTTGGTCCAACTTGTCCATGCCAACCAAACATCACAATCTGACCTAGTCTCTCATTTTTCAAATCATTTATGGGACAAGGGCATTGCTGTCTAGGCTGGCATTTATTGCCCATCCCTAATTGCTCCCAAAGGGCAATTGAGAGTCAACCACATTGCTGAGGGTCTGGAGTCACATGTAGGCCAGACCAGGTAAAGGATGGTAGTTTCTTTCCCTAAAGGACATTAGAGAACCAGATGGATTTTTTCCAACAGTCAGCAATGGATGCATGGTCAACATTACGCTCAATTCACATTCTGCCCTCTTCTGTGGTGGGATTCAAACTGCGGTCCCCCGAACATTACCCGGGTCTCTGGATTAACAGTCCAGCAATTAATATCACTAGACCATTGCCTCCCCAATTTGCCAACAGGTGGCCTATATCCTTCTTCTAAATCCTTCTGATTCATGTACCATCCGGATGCCTTTTTAAATGTAATTTTATCTGCCTTCACCACAACCTCTGCCATTTCTGAGGGATTTGAAACTTAGGGTGTAAGTAGTTGAATCCTGAACCCCAAAAAACTTTTGAACTCCATACATGGTAAATTATTGGAAGTCCACCCTGGATAGCCAGCATGCTACATTGCCTATCACCACTGATGGGCATCAATCACGACCAGTACACTCAAACAAAACACAGAACTGCGAATGCTGGAAATCTGAAACAAAAACAGAAATTGCTGGAGAAACTCTGCAGGTATGGCAGCATCTGTGGAGAGAAAGCAAAATTAATATTTCAAGTCCAGTGATGCTTCTTCAGAACGGATACTCAAATACACTCGTTATTTTCCAGATACCGTTTAGCACCGGAGCATCGTTTCCCTGATCAGTTCAATGATGTTTACACTGTGGTGAAGTACTTCCTACAGCAAGATGTCTTGGTACAGTACTCGGTGGATCCAGCTAGAGTAGCAGTGTCAGGAGACAGTGCTGGTGGGAACTTGGCTGCTGCAGTAGCCCAGCAGGTACAGTTACAAATACAGTAATAGCTTGTAACCGCTCACAATACTGATTGGACGCACTTAACTAATGTTATAATGCATTTCATTGAACGAGAACAATATTTTCACATGGCTCCTGCCAACTGCTCTTCTTGGTTTGGTATTGAATCATAAGGAAGGAAGCCATTCAGTCCATTGATCTCTCTGAAAGGAACTATTCTATTGGTCTATGATAACACAGTGTGGAGCTGGAGGAACACAGCAGGCCAGGCAGCATCAGAGGAGCAGGAAAGCTGACGTTTCGGGTCAGGACCCTTGATGCTGCCTGGCCTGCTAAGATGGATACAGAACTAGCTCAGTTATAGGAAACAGAGGGTAGCGGTGGAAGGACGCTTTTTGGAATGGAGGATTGTGACTAGTGGTGTTCCACAGGGATCAATGTTGGGGCCTCTGCTGTTCGTGATCTACATAAATGATTTGGAGGAAAAGGTAGCTGGTCTAAT